TGTAAATAGGTCGGATTCAATGAATGTTTTTCATTTTTTTAATAAACTTATATTGATAAATACCACATGCTAGGTGTGTGACTCGGGTCAACCAACGGATTAGTCGGGGCATAACTCTGGAACCGTGGCTGGTTACCAAAAAAAAAATAAATACCACATGTTTTAGTACGTGCATCCAATTTGTAAGTTAGCATTTGTACCGAACAAAATATGTTGTTTAGAATGTGTGTGGACCGGCTTGGTTGGATTATAGGGCTCTTGTACGGTTTTTGATTCTTGATTTTTTTTTTTTAAATGTGTAGTGAAGAAATATTTGAACACATGTTTTAGTATGCTAATTAAAATTTATTTTATATTAAATCAATAAGTATGAATATTTGGAGATGATTTTAATATCTTTGTAGGTACTTTGTATCGTTTTAGCTAAACTCTTGAATCCGGCTATTGTGGCCCGTTTGTATGTGTGTTCAATTCATGTATGTTTTATAAGTCTCGGACATGTCGTGGATTTTTGGGTTGTGTAATGATGGTAATAATTTATTTGTGCGGTGGAGCACCACATAGTTTGAATACTTTACTAGATCATTCATGTACAACCCTTGCGTGTGTCATAGGTTGAATATGTTATTGTTTTATGTTGTTCATTTTGACGAGGTGGATGCGGATGATCCCTGACAATCAAGATGATAATCGGAACATCCTGACGAGATGAGACGAGACGAGCTAATCACGAACCTGCTGCCGTCGACTACGCAGTGTCGCGCACACGTGGGCGTGCCCGCCGACATCTGCTACCAGGCGCGGGTGTTGCCGAAGCGTGTGCAGCGCGCATACGCGAGACCAGGGCTACATTGGCGGACGACGACAAATCGGAGAAGATATAAAAGGAGATGGTGTCGAGCACGAACGAGCGTAAAGTGCGTGCAACTTGGTCATAGGAGCTCGTGCACGCACCCATTGCTGAGGACTGCGGGTCGTGCGCTCGCAGTTCTCCGAGAGTGGCAGTACTCGGCCTTTGTAGTACATGCACTCCTTTACGTGGAAGCTAGCTTGCTGGGAGATGGCCATGGCAGAGCGCACCTTGTGCATGTGCGCCAGCGTCCCCAGCTGAGCATCGCACAGTGCGATGGTGGATTTCCGACGATCGTGACACCACATGGCGACGGCCTAAGGGCACGAGATTTTTCCAGTCAATAGCTTCTCCGGCGAACACGATGGCCGAACTCAAGTTGCTTGTTCGAGAAGAAAAGTGGGAGTCAAGGTTAAAAAAGGAATTCTAAGTCCATAAGAAAACTTACAGTTCTATGAGGACAATGATTGCTTATTTACAATGAGGATTAAGAAATTAATTATTGGCCATGATAGATTTATTTTCTAATTTATTATTGCCTTTAAGTATGCATGTACCTAACTGATTGTTGCTTTATGTTAATAGGAGTCTACTTAGAATAATCTCTTATTTAAAATACCAAGTATATATGGAATTAAATAAATTTAAAATTCCATGACCTCCATTAGTGGTTTGTCAGTGAAAAATTTGCGGATTGGCATTAGGGGCCTTCCTCCCTAGGAACAAATTTTAATCACAGTTCACCATGACATACTTCCTTCAGGATGGTAGTAGAAAGTTATTCAAAAGCGTACATACCTCCCTACGGTAGGACGTATAATTTTCGTAGTGGACTTAGTACCAAGTAATGGTTCACACCTAGAGTACATTTAATAGTTGTCTCCCTACGGAATCAGCATTGTTATTTAGTATGGGTCAAAAGTGGACCGACTATTAACTATGTGTTAAGAAATTCAAAAGGTCGACACGGATATTTAATGGGGTAAAGCTCTCGTCTTGGGACGATTTGAATTGTAGACGTCCCACCACCACGGCATACGAGGATTCGATGTTTTGAGGTGTCGGTGAATTTAATAAAATAGTGTTATTAAGAGATCAATGTTAGAGAATGAATTCGAAGACTTGGCTAGCTAATTAAAATATTTTACCTTGCATAATCTCGAAAATTAAAAGTGTCTTTCAATACGTTGTCCGTCGTCTTCAAAGATAAATTATATACTAGTCCAAACTTAATTAGAAAGGTAACTTGAATAGTGTTCTAAATTGCTAGGAAGCACGAGCCGAAGGACAAGTAAACCAATTTAAGAAAATGGAAAATATGAACATGAATTGTCCTATTCTTGAGACAAGAAAAGTAAATTTTATTCACTAGGAAGTCGAAACACTTTTCGTCGTGTTATCTATCAGTATCCAGTGAACAAATACGCAATCACGAATTATGAAAAAATGTTCCAGAAAACAAATCAACAAGCGATAGGTATAGATCACCATCAAACATAAATATTTATCACAATTATAATCCAATCTTGGGCTAAACCATAATTATTTGGGACCATGAATTTAGAAAAGGACCATGCTTCTTTATATGCTGTATTCTGGATTAACTAAAGTGAACACTTTAAGGGGACCCTGACAAGCAATAAAGCTTATCTATCCTTATTTTCCTCAACATATGTACCTAATATATAAAGATGGGCTTCTCGTACCCAAGAGCGCTTGGATGAGATGACTTGGGTCTCTTCCAGCTTAACCAGTGGTCTCGGGTTCGAGCCCTGGGAATGCAGCAGTGTTAAAACTCTTGAGGGGGAGCTTTACCGCCCTTGTGGTCCTACCTGACTTGATTCCGGATTAGTCGGTTCCCCTGTGGATCCGGAAACTGGAAGATCCTTTTACCCAAAAAAAAAAGATGGGCTTCTCGTGTACACGTGAAATGTGTTGATACAACTATTGAAATTGCAAACAAAAGAATCCCTCCTATTAATTTTCGGTTGTTTTGGGTGCACAAATCAATATATCTTCTATATAATCCATAAAAGGTATAATTGAACCACAAAGATTATTGGATTTAGGAGGAAAACACAAAGTAGTCTCTCTCTCTCTCTCTCTCTCTCTCTCTCTCTCTCTCTCT